GAAGATGCGTTAAACACCTTGAATAACATTGGAAGACAACTATGAGCAGCATTGCGAGACACCCCGTAGCACCTTGTAAGACAGCCGTCTGTAAGACAATGACGTGCAAGACACTCATTCAAGCCTCCCCGGGCAACCCTGTACAAGCAGCCGACGCACACAATCCCATGACTAACTGAATGGCAACGCACTGCTAAACGGATGCAAGACATCCCGCGCAGACATGCCAGTCTACCGGGCAAATACATGTCAACGGCAAACAAGCCAGGGTGCCAGTCAGAGTCACAGGGTATCGATTCTCCGCGATGATCTCACCCTTCCAGCGGGGATGACCTGCAGGCGACGTACAACCATTTTTGGCAGGTGTGCGTGAATTGGCGCGTATATATATATATATATATATATATATATATATATATATATATATATATATAGATATATGTCAACATCTCTCTCCCCTCCCTCTCCCTACCCCTCCTTCTCCCTCTCCCCTCCCTCTCCCTCTTCCTGCCTTTCTCTCTTTCTCTCTCTCCCTCTCTCTCTTTCCACGGCTTACACTGAATGATCAACCCCATCACCTTTTCTGGATCCGACCCCGGACCAGCACCAGTCCTGAATCCTATCGGTTACGGCTGCTGCCCTGGCGCGGCACTACGTCCAGTGACGGCTAGCATCCCGCTCCTTCGCCGCCGGCGCACCCCGACCATCGTGCCACCGCGCCGCCGCCTGCCAAATGGCGTGCAACTGGTGACCTAACGTGGCGCCAACCGCCAGGGCCGCGCCCAACCCCAGCACCAGAGTCAAGGTCACGCGCCGCCGCCACGGCGCGCCAATTCCACTCGTCTCGCGCCATCGGTGCCGCCAATCACGACGAGCGGACGCCGCGAATTGCGAAAATGTGGTGCACCTGACCCGGAGTCAACGGCCGTAAACTGACCGAGGCCAATTAGCTGTAATGGCCGCATGGTCACGCCGTTCCCGTGGACGCGCGGACCAGAGACGTAATGTGTTTTAGGGACCTAGTACCAACACCAGACACACGAGTGCTGGTCTGCAGCCGGCAAGCTTTGTCTAGATCACCACCGTCACCAGCCTTCCATGCATCCAACACCGCCCGGCATTTTCCGTTAACTACGGGTCAAGTTTCGACATTGCCAGCTCGGGTCCCGTTTTGGCGCCGTCGGTACCGATTTAGCACCCCGTGTCAGCGCCGTGGCACTGTCATATTGCACGTCTAAACTAGGCTGCTTATAGCCGCTGCATAGACCGTTTAAATAAAAGAACATAACTAACTGGATGTTTTCGTTCCAGCTTCGCAGAAGTAAATCATGACGCGTGTGCCACAATGAGAGACAAACTTCATGTCAACATCATGTTCTGAACTTCTGTGATTCTTGATTTATGGCCTGGTTTACAAATCTCCAGATTTTGTGGGGAAACTGGCGCCAAAATTGCCCCAAAACGAGGCGGGGAAAGTAAGAGGAAGTTGAGCAAAAACATAAACAAAACCCTTTCGGCCAATTCAGACATGACGGAAGGACACCAAAACAACGGTTGCTAGGAAGTGGCAGCCCGATCTCCAGAGCAGACGGCGCCAGTTTTGATACCTGGGTCAACGGGCCACGGCCACAGCGAATAAGACGGCGAGACGCACACACTCGGATAGCATCCAGCAATCGGCGGTCTTCTCACGCCGAAGAGCCGCGCCAGTGCCCGAGCCGGCCGGGGGTTGTGCAACGCAGTCCCGTGCGGGCGTGTCGGGGCGGGGGCGCCCGCTGCGCGTCGCCCGTACGACGTTTTACCCATTGCAGGCTTCAATTCTGGTCATTTTAGAGGCCGCTGTTTGGGCACTCCCGGGGCTGGCCGCAGTTTGGCAATACCACGACCGTGCAGCTGTCACATTGTTGGAGACACTGGGGGGAACAAGTGGAACACGGAAACAATGGAGATGGAGAGGCAACTTGGTTTCGTCAGCAACCAATTGGCACAGCCCTGTCTACAAACAACAGAATACCACGGTCTTCTGGAAGGCGGCGATGTGTTGGTGACAGCCAACATATGACCGAAGGCAGGCCACAAACCACAAATAATTCCACGAGTGGGTGAAGTGTACGGTCTACGCATGGGCGATTGGTCATCCCGGGAACCGTTGCTATAAATTGGGAAGCGACACCAAAAAAAACCTACATAAATAGCGTAAGCGACTGCAAAAAAAACCAACACAGGAGCGTCCCTGAACAGTTAAAGCCTAACGACACGCCAGTGGCGTTCTCTGCTTGGCGTAGCAGAGGTCAGGTCGATCAGCACATTTTTGCGATAAAAATGCGGTGTGAGCCATGGTGCCCTCCGCACAGCCGTGCGTGTGTCCGTACCCGCCGTCTTACGGTCAGGACCTTCGCGGCTGGCTGATGTGAGCAGTGCATGCCATGTACCGTGACATGACGTCCGGTCGTGTGATATCGCTCAGAAGACCGGCTACTGTTCAGTGCACACAGCTAACAGCCGTCGGGAGAACACGCGGGACACCTTGGCCTTTCCTACCGTTCGGTCAGAGTTAAATGTACGCTGAGCACTTTGTGCAGTTTGGGACTGGGGCTCAAGTAAATCTCCTTTCACGTGGTGGCCTTCCAACACAAAACTACGGTTGACATGAGGGCCAGAAGGTAATCGATCGCACCGTTGTCCTCAGCATCTCGTTGGGTTTTCTTTCATTGCAAGTCATTCGGCAATCGGACGGTTGTTCCGAAGATGAGTTTTGTCGCATCATCGCATCGTTTCTTTGTGCATCCGCCATTGTTCGTGCGGTGGCTAACGCATCACTATAGGGGATATTTACATGTCATGACACACCGCGACCACAAACGATGGCGTTAGCGGGCGTGAGCCGGCGACCACAGCCGTGCCAGTGAGGGCTCATGCCACGCCGTGCTATGTTCCTTCTTAAAAGCAGTAAAGCACATCCATTATAATCCGGCGACTGTGCCATGGCCATACAACAATATATGATCATGCCAAGTCATGTATCGTCGCACTGCGTGTGCCCTAAACGGTAACATCTCAGCAGCATCCCTTCCTGAGGGTGACCAGCACGACAAATCGAGCTGACGAGCACGTGCCGCCGCTACGGAGCGGGGTGCCAGGCCAGCATCGGCAGTGTGCACGGCGGATGGGGCAGTCGTTGATGCGTTCGTTACTTAAGCCAACGCTCACGACCGGCGTATTTAGGGCCGGACACATACATCCCCAGACTTGTCGTCGTGGCCCGCTGCACAAACCAAACTAAACAGTTTGGTGCCATAAGCTTGTTCTGTTGAAGCATGTGCTCTCGTCAGTCTAAAAGTGAAGATAACTCCATCCCATGATTTAACTGGATTCCAATATGTAATATCTGCACACGCTCCTTAACATGCCACGAAAAGCGCGCAATTAAAACATGGACGAACAAGCCTTCTTTATAAGAATGCTTCGAGCCTCGCTGAAAACCTGTAACCATGACCTTTCAATATCAGGAGGAATGTGAAAGGCACCCGTTCCTGATGATACCGTTGCGCGAAACATACCGCAGAGTACGTCCGTTATCGAATCCGACAGCACACAGCGTCTGCTGCCTTCCCAAACCGGGCCGTTTCCTTGCGAACCATCGGCTGGTGTTCGCTTCCGCAGCGGTGCCGCCCCATCGCCGGCTCCCGCCTTCTCGGGAGCGGCGCTCACGTGAGATCGGTGGACCGGCGGCCGTTTGTGGTCGGGTCGTCTGGCTGGACGAGGGCGCCCGCTGCCGAGGGCGTTGGATCGAGACCATAGTCTCTCAACTAGTCCGTCGTACGACTTATCGCATCAAAGGGATCCAGCCAGCATGGGCCCCGAGAAGAAGAGGAGCAAAGACTGTCTCATGTCGTTACGGACACCCAGGAGCCCCTGACTTGGACGAGAACTGCAGCGTGAACTCTTGAGTCTCCTAAAAAGCTGCCCTCCATCTTCAGCTCATAAATGACCCCATATTTATCCTTGCGCACAGGAAGACTGGTCTGGTCTGGTCTGGCGTCTGCAGGAAATCAGGCCTGACGGAGTCTCAAGAGGCGTGGTTACTTAACGACACGTCGAAGTGGGAGTGCATTCAGAACTGGCACCGGTCCCAGCCTGCCCCTCCAAATATCCCTGGCAGGTCTGGGGAGATTTCATGAGATTTGTTAGGGAGACTGTAGTCCATTTGGCAAAGCGGTCCAAATCGAAGACCCCCGCGTGGTATGTCCTAGCGGCTACCGCTGCTCAGAAACAGCGTTTCAGCGTAACCAGCGAGTCAAAACAACTTAGACACTGATTTAGTTATTTGCTGATTACTGTTTGAGCATTAGCCAACAGCACCTGCATCCTGGTCAAGCATCACTCGAATCTTTCGGAAGGGCAAAGGAGCTCTATCGACACAATATCCCCACTCGACTGCTCTCAAGTGGAGGGGGATTGGCAAGGTCTATGCGGACCTGCCAGACCATGCTGCATGACGGCACGGCACATCTTCGTGCAGTCATGGATATAGCTCAGGACCAGTGTGTCTCTGCAGCATGACATTTCTCCAAGATCCGGGCTCACACAGCGTAACTATTCATTATCTTGATGGAAGTAGCGGCCAAGACCACAGATGTGGAGTCAAATAAGGTAGCGTCTGGCTCCTCTCCTTCCTTGCTAGACGGATGTGGGCGGCTTAGCTCCGCCTAGAGCTACTCTCGACCCCACCCCCTCCCTCCTCTGTACCGTCCCATGCCTCCAACAGGTCAAATTCTGGTCGAACGAAGCCTAGTTTGTCGTTGGTCGCGAGAACCATTCAGGTACGAGAATCTAAAAAAGAATAAGAGGGCGTTGCGTCAAGTGGGGCAGCGCCGCCTGCGGCAGCGTGACGGCCAACCGCGTCGCCCTCCCGCGGCAGAATAAAAGCCCAGCCGCACAGACACCAGACACCAGTCACTCGCCAGCAGTGGTGTTCATCTCACAGCGCCACGGCAAACATGAAACTGGTGAGTGCGGCCAGCGAGGTCGGTGCTTCATATCGTGGTTGCCCATCGTATTACAGCGGGCGCCTATGCAGTCACTTGAGCGCCGTGGTAGGTCTAGCAAAGCTAGGCCTGTCGATGGGCGCCCGTTTCTTCATGTGTTCGGGTTAGTCAGACAGTCTTCAGTGTAAGAGTACTTTTTGCTCCCAAGGAATCTAAACGGTTGCATATGAAGCTATTTTGGCAAACAACGAGGATATTAGGACTGGCTGAATGTCATCAACGAACCCTAATGGTAACCCGAATGTCATCAACGGAAGGTAAATGTGACATCCAAAACATTCGCACCATACCCCATTGGCCAGACTCTATCAGGACAGACGTGCGAGCGTCAGGCTCCAATTTCAACAGTCCCTGGATCAGTCTCAAACGCCACGCCGCCAGTTATGGTGCTGTCAGATGCTGCACGCATTCCATAGCTATCCATTGCCAACCCTGCATCCACGGGAGGAGCTTGATAAAAGAAGCTGGTCTGGCAAAAGGTGCTAAACTGCGTTTTGTCACGGTAAAATAATACAAAGCAATCTCACCCCTTGCTGCACCGCTGGGTTGGCACTCCTCTGACGTCAGCTGGGTGTGTTTCCAGTTGATCGTAGCCTCGCTGGCGGCTCTGGCCTGCGCTGATGGCCCGCGGCCGCAGCCGGCACCAGCCTCCTACCAGCGGCCGGCAGCCCCGGCACCAGCCTCCTACCAGCAGCCGGCGGCACCGGCCGGCTACGGTCAGCCACTCGCCATCCTCAGCGAGGAGAACGTCCACCCGGGCGACGGCACCTACCAGTTCAGCTTCCAGACCGAGAACGGCATCTCACGTAACGAGAACGGCAGCCCCAAGGCCGGCTACGGCAAATCCGAGTACGGCCAGCCCACCGGCGGCTACGTCCAGCAGGGTGGCTGGAGCTACAGCGACGACTACGGCAACCCCATCCAGGTGACGTTTGTTGCCGACGAGAACGGCTACCAACCGTCTAGCGACATCCTGCCGACGCCGGTGCCGACCGAGTACCCGCTGCCGGTCGTGCCGCAGGTGTACCAGGGCGAGCAGAGCTATGGATCTGCCCCAGCCCCCGCACCCGCCCGCTACAGCGCCCCGGCTCCTGCTGCCCGGCAGTACAACGCTCCCGCTCCTGTGGCTCCTGCTCCTGCTCCTCGGCAGTATAACGCTCCCGCTCCTGCTCCTGCCCCCAGGCAGTACAGTGCTCCTGCTCCAGCTCCGGCTCGCTACAATGCGCCTGCCCCTGCTCGCAATTACTGAGAGGGATGGGCGGGGAGTGCTGAGAGTGTCGCAAACAAGTGTGAGAGGCTGTGAGGCTGCATGAGTGATATATTTATACGCCGGTACTGCTTAAAATACATGCGCGTGCAACATGAGCTGTGTTTACAGCACCTTTATTACCATGTGCGGCTGAGACATATTATATTAAAGAAATAAATGGTCAGCAGAATGATGGGCTGAATGAAAAGGCAGTTTTTCCATCCAGTAGTTCACGTTCCGACCAGATCCTTGGTCGGGCTGCCAGGAACCCCTAGGTGATGGATCGACAACGCCGGGCTGGTAGTCACCTTGCATGGCTGGTCCTGTCGCACAGGTTGTACTTGATGATGACAAGTGTAGAAGATTAAGACAAGTATATCATTCAGATCACCCTATAAAGCCTTGATGATCAGGCCTGGTTCACGATGAAAAGATTACTGGGGGATCTACGGCGTGAAGGAACTGGAACACTTAACCATACTCGACAGCACGCGAACAATTCCCTAAAAAGTGACATAGCGTGCGACCCTAAGCGTTGTGTCCGAAAAACTGCACTCTTGTTGCAGTAAGGTGACGGCAGGCCACGGGTACGTGTTGCACGGTAAGCGGGTCAGAGCATCGACTGCGACGTGGTCTGTCGCCAGCCAGTAACAGGTGACGGTGCGTAGGATATGTGCGGCCTATGCGTAACCGGCAAAGGGCAACTTCCTCCCTTCTTTTGTCGCCAAAACACGACTGCCATAGTCCAGTACGGGGTTTCACTGACTTAAGCTTGTTGGCGCCCAGCGAGTTCCAGTGGAACCGCCATCGCTTCTGCATAAACGACGACACTGCGGACAGTTACATGTCTTGAACTGGCAGTGGTGTTATAAGAATGCGTGTCCCTGTCGTAGCGCGTTTTGCTGCCGCGTCAGTAAGATCATTCCCGTGGATCTCCGCGTGAGTTGGGATCCAACAGAGCATGACCGTTTTTCCTGCTCGATCCAGCGAGCAAAGACGCGATTGAATGTCCTAGACTAGTGGATTCGACGAGAAGCCACCAACAGCTAGCAGGAAAAAATCAAGTACGAAGTGCTATCGTCTATCTCAATAAAACAGAGATCTTCGCTGATGACTATGAGCTCGAAAGTGAAGACCGCTACGTGTGCAGGCCGTGTCAACGACCGTGATGCGGATGCACGGTCAAAAGCCCCCTCGACACCTGCATCCGCCTTTGAACCATCCGTTTGAGTCCTCACGTATCCGTCAAAGGAGGCTATAGGCTGTAAGGCTGCGTCTTCAACTTCCGTCATGAGAACGTGTTGGTTTTGCATGTTTGATAGCAAAGCATCCAATCTTGGCGAAACTAGCTCCCAAGGAGCAGCCGTAATGAGTTAAGGTCTGATGACACGTCGTAGGCTGAAGCCGCTCGCGTCTGGAAGTTCTTGCATTCGTGCACAAAAGGGAGAAGTCTGTGGCGACCTTTGAAGTAGAAAAAGCCTTCGTAAGCTACGCGAAAACACTGCTTTGTGGGTGGAATGATCTGGGAACTGCGCCAGCGTGATCGTCTAGCGCAGTCCTACCATCAGCCTTCGCAATGCTAGTAGGGGCTCGTGAGCTTCCACGAGACGACTACCTATGGGCGATGTTCGAAAAGCCCCTGTGGCGATGCGTAGTGCTGCGTGGCGTACCGTGTTCAAAGTACGTTTGATCAGGTCTGAAGCACCGTCATACATAAAACAGCCGAAGTCAAGTCTTGCACGAATCAGGGAACGGTACAGGAGTAAGAGCGTCCTCCTATCAGCACCGTTTGATGTACGGCACACGCACCTTAGGATGTTAAGAGATTTTAAACACCTGTCGCAGAGATTTCTTATGTGCTTTCGGTATGCTAGGCATCGGTCAAACCGTATACCGAGAAATGTCACGGTATTCCCATTTGCGACGTGTTGCCCATGCAGTCTGATTTCCATTTCAGGACAGTGACGGCGACGGTGACAGAAATGAACTGCAGTTGTCTTCGATGCGGAAAACTAGAACCCGTTGAGCACACACCACTTCTCCGGACGTGTGGTAGCCAGCTGCAGCTGTCGCTCCGCTGTGCAAGTGGTCGATGACCTGCACTAAATAGCGAATTCCTCTACGAACAAAGAACGGCTGATCTCATGTGGAAGCGTGTCTGTCCTCTATATAGTTAATCATCACTGCGAAAAGAATGGCACTTAATACGATGCCCTGGGGTACACCATTTTCCTGCGAATACCTGTCAGAGGATAAGAACCAACACGCACCCGAAAAATATGTTGGTCTAAAAGCTTTGTGAAAACTTTCCCATGTGACCGCGGATACCACGATCGAATAACTTCATCAAAATGCCATGTCTCCATGTGGCATCATAAGCCTTTTCTATGTCAAAAAAGATGGCGCCGGTATAAGGTTTGCTAACAAACCCGGCCCACACTGGGGTGTCAACAGTTAAGATGTTAGTCAATCGTGCTCCTGTTCTCACGGAATCAACACAAGCATTCGTAAAGGAGTTTTGACGTTCTTAAGTCCATGAGAGTCGCATATTCACCATCCTTTCTATGACCTTACAAAGCGAAGATGCAAGGGCGATCGGGTGATAGTCAAGGGCGTTTGCTCCACTTTTCCTGGGCTTTAAAATAGGCACTACTGTGGCCTCTCGCCAAGTTGGCGGGAAGTTACCTGACTCCTATATCCAGTTGAAAAGTGCCAGCAGCGCTCGTAGTGTACGGGGAGGAAAATGGCGCATCATGCCATTGTGGATGAGGTCGGGCCCCTCCGCTACTCTACGCAGTGAGCGAATGCCTGCTTGAAGTTCCATCATAGTGAAATGCTTGTTGTACGTCAGTACGTCACCTGTATAAAAAATAACTTGCAAAGTCACATCGCGTCCTGTGCCGCAGAAATTGTGGATCGCAGGTGCCATTTCGGCAACGGTCCGACAAGGCTTCCCCAATGGCTTCTGCGACATCACTTGGGTGAGTGATGTCTTGAATTCCCAGTCGCAGTACGGGAAGTGAAACTGCTGGGTGCGATACAGAGATTACTTTAATGCTGCCCCATACATGTGACGTCGGCGTGTGATGATTCAGTGAGTTGAAGTAGCTGCTCCATGATGCACGTTTCGCCTCCCGTATGGTGCGGCATGCGGCCGCGCGTGCTTGCCTGAAAGCCATGAGGTTGAACGTAGTGCGGTGCCGGTCAAAAGCCTTAAAAGCTCTCCGATGTACGCGAATGGCGTCATGACGCTCGTCGTTCCACCAAGGTACAGGGATACGACGAGGACATCCAAAGGTACGTGGAATGTATTGGTTCGCCGCGCCAAGAACAAGAGGCGTGAATTCCTCCCCATTGGGCGTCGCAGAGTCGAAATCGTTAGAAAAGATTTCCTCCAGGCGGGTCTCAAGTCCGCTCCAGTCCGCCTTCTTCAAATTCCAACGCTGAGGCTGAGCACCAAGAACAGTACCATAACGGTACCGAACCCAAACTGGAAAATGGTCACTTCCGAGGGGGTGCTCTGAAGCATCCCAAGTGAAGTCTGGTACCAACTGCGGACTACAAATGTTCAGATCTAGCACTGACGATCGTCCTGATAGCAATACCAAATGAGCTCTTGCTGCTGTATTTAAAACACACAAGCCTTCGTTACGCACGAAAACCTCATATAGCTTACCGCGGGTGTTCGTGGCAGCACACCCAAATAAAGCATGATGTGCATTAAAATCGCCTAAAACCAGCAGATGTGGAGGAGGTTGAGAGGCTAACTCTCGTAGTTCCGCAGATGGAAACGGGGCCCCAGGTGATAAGAAGGGAAGGCAGACAGCTATGGTGCGGAGGTTAAAATTCACCGTTGCTGCGACGGCTTGCAAGCCTGTTATTAACACCAGACGCTGTGTAGGTACGCTTTGGTGTACAGCTAACAGAGCGCCACCGTAAGCAACGGTGTGTGTGTGTGTGTGTGTGTGTGTGTGTGTGTGTGTGTGTGTGTGTGTGTGTGTGTGTGTGTGTGTGTGTGTGTGTGTGTGTGTGTGTGTGTGTGTGTGTGTGTGTGTGTGTGGTGTGTGTGTGTGTGTGTGTGTGTGTGTGTGTGTGTGTGTGTGTGTGTGTGTGGTGTGTGTGTGTGTGTGTGTGTGTGTGTGTGTGTGTGTGTGTGTGGTGTGTGTGTGTGTGTGTGTGTGTGTGTGTGTGTGTGTGTGTGTGTGTTGTGTGTGTGTGTGTGTGTGTGTGTGTGTGTGTGTGTGTGTGTGTGTGTGTGTGTGTGTGTGTGTGTGTGTGTGTGTGTGTGTGTGTGTGTGTGTGTGTGTGTGTGTGTGTGTGTGTGTGTGTGTGTGTGTGTGTGTGTGTGTGTGTGTGTGTGTGTGTGTGTGTGTGTGTGTGTGTGTGTGTGTGTGTGTGTGTGTGTGTGTGTGTGTGTGTGTGTGATTGGGGCTTTACGACGCACTCAGCTGCTGAGGCTATATGGCGTCGCCTGCCTCTCACCCTGGCAGGAAGGGCGGGCACCGCGGGGAATCGAACCCCGTACCTCTGGTTTCCCAGACGCGCAGAGTCTTGGCATCGCAGAGTCGAGCAACGGTGTCTGTTGCCATGTCAATGCGGAAGGTGGTGTAACCTTTCAGGCTGGAGCCCGCACCAGGCGCCAACTTTGTCTCCCGGGGACACACGGCTACCTGGCAGTGCGCGCTTAAAACTGTCTGCAAGTCCTGGGTGATTGAACTTACACCTCTACAGTTTCATTGTAAGAGAAATTGAACGAGGAGGCTTCAAAAGCA